TCTTGTTGTAATGTATCACAAGTCCATTGTAATGAACAATTGTAAGATTCTTATTATTCACGTTGTTTTTTTGAATAATGTACTCAATTAACGATTTTTGTTGTTTAGAAAGAAAAAATGTTTTTTTTATTCATGTTGTTTTTAGACAGATTTACTATACTAGAGAATGTCACTTTAGTTTTTTTTTTTAATTGACATGTGTGGGAGTAGTCAATGATCAATTGATTTGATTCATGTTGTTGTTTACGTACTGGGATTTCTATTTGCAAGAAACCAACATCGACTAAAAAAATTAACATGAAACGATTAGAAGATACGTATGAAGATAAGAAATATGGTGTTTAATTTCAAAGATTCGAAGACACTCACCTTGAAATTGGGGCAACCAATGAATCTCCTGCCAGGGTTATTCGGTTTCCATGAAGCTATGATGCACGGAAACTCCTGTTAGGGTACCGTTCTCGTATCAGAAACTCCTGGGAAACGGATACGGCTTGGAAACGCCTTGGAAACGTTACGGTGAAGTATACGGTAGGCAAAAACGTTTTTGTGAAGTATCCGGTGAATTTTCCGTAACGTGTCTATTTTCTTTTAGGCTTTTCAATGGGCTTTGTAAGTTTAACTCCAAAAAGGCTAATTGGCTAGGCTATACAATACATAATAGGTATTACTCAATCACGTAAACGAATGTCGACTACTGTAACGTCGATTAGAGACGATCGATCACCATTCTCCATTCTCCAATTCTGATTTCTGTATTCACCATTCTCCAATTCTGATTTCTGGCGATCACCAATTACCCATTCACCAATTCTGAATTTCTGATTTCTAAAACCACCATTCTCCTATTTCCTAAACCCATCGATTATGGCTTCTCAAGAAACACAAGGATCATCAACTTCATCAGACCAACCGCCATTGTAGGACTATGTGACTAAACTGGAAAATCTTGTTGGAGCAGGAGGATGTTGGAAATTTAAGTGTAACCTTTGCGGTGAAACCCGACAAGGATCATATTCTAGAGTTAGAGCACATTTGTTTGGTATAAAAGGTAATCTACTACTCAATTGTAATGATTTTGTAATGAACAATTGTGTGTGATTTTTGAGATTTAGTGTATGTGATTCTTGTTGTTCATTGTATGTGATTTTCGAAATTTTAAAGAAATAGAAGAGGTCCATTGTGTGTGAACAATTGTGTGTGATTTTTGAGATTTAGTGTGTGTGCTTAATGTACTAAATTTCTTGTTGTAATGTATCACAAGTCCATTGTAATGAACAATTGTAAGATTCTTATTATTCACGTTGTTTTTTTGAATAATGTACTCAATTAACGATTTTTGTTGTTTAAAAACAAAAAATGTTTTTTTATTCATGTTGTTTTTAGACAGATTTACTATACTAGAGAATGTCACTTTAGTTTTTTTTTTAATCGACATGTGTGGGAGTAGTCAATGATCAATTGATTTGATTCATGTTGTTGTTTAGGTACTGGGATTTCTATTTGCAAGAAACCAACATCGACTAAAAAACTTAACATGAAACGATTAGAAGATGCGTATGAAGATAAGAAATATGGTGTTTAATTTCAAAGATTCGAAGACACTCACTTTGAAATTGGGGCAACCAATGAATCTCCTTCCAGGGTTATTCGGTTTCCATGAAGCTATGATGCACGGAAACTCCTGTTAGGGTACCGTTCTCGTATCAGAAACTCCTGGGAAACGGATACGGCTTGGAAACGCCTTGGAAACGTTACGGTGAAGTATACGGTAGGCAAAAACGTTTTTGTGAAGTATCCGGTGAATTTTCCATAACGTGTCTATTTTCTTTTAGGCTTTTCAATGGGCTTTGTAAGTTTAACTCCAAAAAGGCTAATGGGCTAGGCTATACACTACATAATAGGTATTACTCAATCATGTAAACGAATGTCGACTACTGTAACGTCGATTTGAGACGATCGATCACCATTCTCCATTCTCCAATTCTGATTTCTGTATTCACCATTCTCCAATTCTGATTTCTGGCGATCACCAATTACCCGTTCACCAATTCTGAATTTCTGATTTCTAAATCCACCATTCTCCTAATTCCTAAACCCATCGATTATGGCATCTCAAGAAACACAAGGATCATCAACTTCATCAGACCAACCTCCATGGTAGGACTATGTGACTAAACTGGAAAAACTTGTTGGAGCAGGAGGATGTTGGAAATTTAAGTGTAACCTTTGCGGTGAAACCCGACAAGGATCATATTCTAGAGTTAGAGCACATTTGTTTGGTATAAAAGGTAATCTACTACTCAATTGTAATGATTTTGTAATGAACAATTGTGTGTGATTTTCGAGATTTAGTGTGTGTGATTCTTGTTGTTCATTGTATGTGATTTTCGAAATTTTAAAGAAACAGAAGAGGTCCATTGTGTGTGATTGTGTGTGAACAATTGTGTGTGATTTTCGAGATTTAGTGTGTGTGATTAATGTACTAAATATCTTGTTGTAATGTATCACATGTCCATTGTAAAAAACAATTGTAAGATTCTTATTATTCACGTTGTTTTTTTTTATTAATGTACTCAATTAACGATTTTTGTTGTTTAGAAAGAAAAAAGGTTTTTTTATTCATGTTGTTTTTAGACAGATTTACTATACTAGAGAATGTCACTTTAGTTTTTTTTTTTTAATCGACATGTGTGGGAGTAGTCAATGATCAATTGATTTGATTCATGTTGTTGTTTAGGTACTGGGATTTCTATTTGCAAGAAACCAACATCGACTAAAAAACTTAACATGAAACGATTAGAAGATGCGTATGAAGATAAGAAATATGTGTATCTGCTCTAAGCCCACAACCAAACAAGGAACAGGAAATGAAGCGGAAAGCACAGATCCTACAGCCTGTCGGATCTGATTAATATATACCCTAATGTATCCATCAAGGAATCATAAATTTAGCATTATAGGCCCTCTTCTAACTGAATGTACTATGACCCGACTGTTCTGTTTGTTTGTTCTTTTGTAAGAATGTATGTCTTCCCAAGTTTTATGACTATCTTTACTAGAAAATAGTTTGCATTACCGTTTATGTGAGAATATCACTATATAAATGTAATGGGAAAATGAAAGTACACGGTAGTATTGTATAAAATAACTACTGAAGTACTAACTACCTTAAAACCAATAAGTTTAATTAAGGTTAAAATGTGATGTGGTTATAACCATGCTGATTGACTAGTATTTAACACGACAACCTGCTGGCGTCGAAACTAATGTGGTATTTGTCACCCCTTGGCCTGCCGGCCAAACTGTAGCGAACAGTCGGGATGCGGGATTGTCAATCCCGTATAGATCTATACACACAATGCCCGCTCTCCCTCCAGGAGACTCTGGTTAAAAAACGCGACATAACAAGTGTATTGCTATGCCGTGAAGTAGTGGTTTCACATTATTGTTATCTTGTTCTTGTTATAGTATGTTCCTTTCTGTTCTTGTTATAGTATGTTCCTTTCTGTTCTAGTTATAGTATGATCCTCCTTATTCTAGTTATAGTATGTTTGAACTGACTCATTTAAGTTTCACTGCTCTAGAAATAGTAGTAGTAACCCTCTAAACTATACCTATTATAGTTTACTAGTAGGTTTGTTTGAATTGTTACTGGCCTGTAGAAAAGACTCAATTATCTACTGAGTTAAGCATATACTTTAAGAATGAAATTTTATAAACAACAAACTGACATCTTTAAAAAGAGTTTTTGAATTGATTTGATCACTTACAAAAACATAAGAAATCCTTTAATGTGATGTTATCACAGGTAAATATTAACACAATAATATTGTGTTCAACTTGTATTCCCCTCCTTAAAAGCATTTAAAAACATTTAAAAGATAGATTATAGGGGTATGAACTCACCTTATGTGGGTGATTCAATTGAAGATTCGAGTAAGGATGAGAAGTTCCACGAATGAAGTCCCGAGACACAAACGAGTCCTAAATGACATATAACGGCATATATAGGCATGTAATTAGTGTTTATAATCCACTAACTTGTAAGGAAACAACCTTAGGAACTAGGAAACACTTGCAATGAAGTGTCACAATCACATATGATTGATTGAAGGGAGTTCACGGCCAAACAAACAAGTGTTCACGGCCTTAGAAGGGTTCACGGCCATAGAACACATGATGTGTTCACGGCCCAACTATGATCCTATGAAGGGTTCACGGCCAAGGCTTGCATCTAAGAAGGGTTCACGACCCAATGAAGGGTTCACGGCCGTGAACTCTTGAAGATCATGCATAAAAGTGTTGTTTCATGGGTGGAATCAAGTGTTTCTAATGGAAAACAAGAAGTATGAAGAGATACTTACGTTTTGGTAGCTTTTGGGGTGTTCACGGTTGAAGGAAGTTTGAGAGAGAATGGGATGTTCACTGCTAGAGTTTGATGAAATGAAGAAAAATGAACCAATCTCATATATATATATATATATATATATATATATATATATATATATATATATATATATATATGAGTAGTTCACGGCCAAGTGAGGGTTCACGACCGTGAACTCATTTTGATAGTGATTCCGGCTTGATTGCAACTCATAGAACTCAAGCTAACACTTCCTAACACACAAACCTTGAGTGTACTAGGCTTTGAAACTCTGAAATAAACCCTAAACAAGGCTAAAAGATAACAGAAACGAGCCTGACTTTTGATTGGTTGAATTGACTTACAAGGTAGAAATTTTCGGGTTGTCATAATCATTGTGATGCTCAAGAGATTGAAACTTATCAAAATGAGTCTTCAAGCTATGGTCATAAGCGAATAATGGTCTTTTTATAGATAAGATGACACTGAGAAAGCAAACTCAGTGAAAGAATATATTTTGAATGATGATTGGTGGGACAAAGTAGCATATATTCTTAGTTTCATTGGACCTATATATGAGATGATTAGAGCTTGTGACACCGACAATTAATGTTTACACTTGGTGTATGAGATGTGGGATTTTATGATTGAGAAAGTGAAGATTGAGATCTACAAGAAAGAAAAACGTCCAACATCTCAAATAAGTTGCTTTTATGATGTTGTGCATCGTATTTTAGTGGCTCGATGGGCGAAGAATAACACTCGCCTACATTGTTTAGATCACTCTTTACATCCAAGGTATAAGATTTTAAATTATACACTTGATTTCTATTATATATTTATGTTTTAACTTTTGAATGTTGTAGATATTATAGTGACGCATGGTTACCGGAGGATTCTACAAGATGTGCTCCACATAGGGATGGAGAAATTTCACAAGAAATGATGAAATGTTTTCGAATGTTTTTTCCTAATGATGATGAGTATAGCAAAGTCTTTGATGAGTATGCAATGTTTTCAATGAAGAGTGGTCCTTTTGAGGATTTAACAAGCATTTCAAAGATGGCTACTATGGAACCCAAGAATTGGTGGGTTAACTTTGGTGCTCAAACTCCTTTTCTCCAGACTTTGGCTTTTAGATTACTTGGACAACCTAGTTCTTCTTCTTGTGTTGAGCGTAATTGGAGTACTTATGCATTTATTCACTCACTTAAGAGGAACAAGTTGACTACAAGTCGTGCTTAAGACTTGGTTTACATCCACAATAATCTCCGACTTTTATCCAAGACTCCGAATGATGATGTAAAGATGTGGGATGTGGGTGGAGATGCTTTTGATTCAATGGAAGATGTAGGGTTTTTGGAGGTTGTCGATCTCTCACTAGATGAATCGGATTTTGAAAATGATTTGATTATTGATAATTAATTACTTTTGAAAGATTTATTATTTTTGGAGTTTACACTTTACATCAATATATATCTATCTTGGAATTTCTTTAATATATATATATATATATATATATATATATATATATATATATATATATATATATATATATATATATGTGTGTGTGTGTGTGTGTGTGTGTGTTTATATTTTTATATTGTCGTATCTCTGCCGTATCCGTATCCGTATCTTTAGTTTGTGATTTTTGCCATTTCTCGTTTCCGTTCCGTATCTGTTTCCCGTTGCCGTATCCATTTCCGTGCAACTTAGCCATGAAGTCCACCTACCAACTGGATCATCACAATTTCACCTTCTTCGAACTTGCATGACTGACCTATTAGCACTACTGTTGGAGATGGAGGAGGAGGAGCCCATCTTCAAGACTTGCAATTTGGTCGATTTAGGGTTTGTGTATTCTTAAACAAGGTGAGAGAGTGAGGTATCGAGTCAGCTTCCATGTAAGCAAAATAAAGCCACATCGATTTGTTACCGGTTGCAAGAGTGGTAACCGGGTAAAATTGGTCAATTTGTCGCTTTATCCGGTATTCCATGCTTTTTCGTTAACATTTTTTAGTTTAGGAATTTTTCTGTAAATAGGGGCAAAATAATAGGACTTTATTGGAGATTTCCCTAAAAAATTAATCATAAACCCAACCCAACTAATAAACTTTTTATTGCATTTCATATTGGTAAAATCTAAACACTTTCAATAAATATAAGGATCATAAATATGTATAAATAGTTGTGAGTAGTTAAATTGAAAAAAAAGGGAAAATGACTTGCGAGGGTAATTACTTTTTCGTCTTATTCACATTTAAGCAACTTCGTTTTTTTTTGTACACATTTGATCATTTAACTTGTTAAATGTGTTCACATATTACCATTGTCACCTGCTATAGCAGGTGAAATGGTAATATGTGAACACATTTAATAAGTTAAGTGGTCAAATGTATACATAAAAAAGAAAGTTGTCCAAATGTGAACTTCCAATCCACCAACCCTTTTAAATACATTTATTTAATATCGATATTTAATTATTTTATATATAAGACAAATCTTCATAAATGGTCCCTGTGGATTTTCAAAATATCAAGTTTAATCCCCATTTTTTTGTCTTTAAGGACAGTCCTTGTAGTTTAAGTCGTGCAAGATTGCTAAAACTTGGAGGAATGCTTCCATTGAATCGATTTCCACAAAAAATAGCATCTTAAGCCCTCTATCTCGCTTAGATACTTAAAGATTTCACTAGTTGATTAAGTAGCCAATTAGATGAATCTCACTTGGAAACAAACATGTTAACAAATTGTTGGCAAATTTTAGCTCTTCCAATCACTTCAAACTCCCAATGTCACTTGAAATTTTACCTAACAAAGCAAGATCTAAAGCTGATAATGTGGATAAATTAGTCATCCACAAACGAGAATCCCTATGAATTTGATTCCGTTGAAGATCTAATATGTTTCTTGGCTCTCGAACTCAAGGCTTGCATAAAGGAAGGGGAGAGACAATTCAAGATGATTATTGTGTGTTTTATGTTGGTTCATTGTTGTTGAGGAGCATATGAAAAACGGACTTAGGCACACATATGGGGATCGATTCACAAGGGGAAAAACATCGATAGTAGAGAAGAGAGAAAAGAAGGGGAATGAGGTGGTGGAGGAGAAAACCACCTGTTGGCGGCGGTGTATAGGCATGTGAATCTGACGGCGATCGAAGCATACAAGATGAAGGGTGTCGGTGGCGGAGGTTTTGGGGAGGAAGAAAGTAATTGAATGATGTAAACATTTAAAATTTCATAAATGTTCTCTGTGGTTAAACTTCATGAATGGTCCTTGTGGTATGTAAAAGACGATTTTTCCCTCACAAGTCTTACATGTGTTCGGACTTAACTTAACAGACCATAAGTGACAGAGTGAACCAAAAGGACTATTCGTGAAATGTTTTAAAAACACATGGGCCATCCTTTAAGACAAAAAGTTAGAGATTAAACTTGATATTCTGAGAAACTACATGGACCATTTATGAAGAATTGTCTATAATTAATAAATCAATACGTAACCTTAAAACAGGTGTGCTCTCACTTCTCACGATTTGCTGCAAAATGAAAGCGGAGTTGCTTAGAAGTCAGACATTTCCACTGTTTTTTGACCAATGAATTTGTCTTTGTAGTTATATTTTGGGAAAATGACTTAGGAGGGTAACTATTGTCATAGTTCCCTTTTTTTGTATTCTATTTACCATTGAACTTGTTTTTGGTGTTCACAAAAACCATTATGATCGGGTATTGTAATTTTAGTCGGTTAAGTTGAATTTCCCTGCCAATATATGAATTTTCCGGTGACTATATGAATTTTCCGGCGAATGTATGAACTTTCCGGTGATTTTATGAAATTTCCGGCGAAGGACACTATGAATGCCTTAAACTTGTTTTTCATATCTGCAAAAATCTAAACATCATTACAACATCAGATCGACCTCCATTCCAGCAAAAATCAAAGTTGAAGAACAATTTCTGGAAACTGAAGAGCAATTTTTGAAAACATACAAGAAATCGGTGGGTTCCAAATCAAAAATCTGGAAATTGATGTTGAAGAACAACTTCTGAAACCCTAGGTTCGTGTATCTGGAACGATTTATGAAAATTGAAAACCCTAGGTTTGTGTATCTTGTTCATGGATCGAAAATCTGGAAATCGCTAGGGGCTGGTCTCGATTCTCTTTTTGTGTACCTCCGATTCTCAAAGATGCTAAAGCTACCATGGAAGCTGTTTGAACAACTTGAACTCGAAGCTGATGAATGTTCATCCATGGAAGACGAAACCAAAATGAAACCCTCTTTCAATAAGGTTTCAACTTCAAAACGAAACTGAGATCTGGAAAACGACCCTTCTCAATATTAAACATAAAAATGGAGATCTGGAAAACGACCCCTCTTTCAAGGTTCAAACTTCATTTCAAGGTTCATCCATGGAACTCGAATCGATTTGTAGATCTGGAAAATCAAGAAGAAGAAAAATCGAACATTTGAAGAAAAAATCGAACATTTGAAGAAAAAATCGAGATCTGGAAAACGACCCCTCATGTTTGTCGGCGGCTCGCCGGAGAAGATGGTCGGAGAGCCGTCGGAGGTGATGAAGTCACCGGAAACCTTCAATAGCAGGTTGCGATGGTATTTTGGAACACCAAAAACAAGTTTAATGGTAAATAGAGTACAAAAAAAAAATAACCAAATGGGAACAATGACGATAGTTAGTTACCCTCCTAAGTCAGATTCCATTATATTTTTCATCTAATTTCAAAGAATTATTTAGGTTTGTAACTTATTTAAATAGGTATAATATATTTTTTTTATTTTATTGACATTTTAAAATTTAGGGTAAATTTACACGAACGGTCCTTATAGTTTTGGATAGTATGCACGCTTGGTCCCTATAAAGAATTTATGAACTTGTACCATCCTTAAAGTTTGTATTTGTTTCGCATTTGGTCCCTAATCCAGTTGAAATGACTCTTTTACCCTTGATGATATTTTTTAACTCTTATTTTAATTATTATATGGAATAAATTATTAATCAAACACACTCTACCTCTTCTCGTTATCCCTCCCTAACCCCTATACTGCATCTCCCTATATACTCATCGACGCTACATCTTCTCACCGGAAAAGTCGTCATCACCTTCCAAAATCCACCCCAATCATAAGTGAGTGAAATGATTTTAGCGTGTCAAAATCAAAGGAAACCACCCGATTCATAGGATTTCTAAAACGATTAATGATGGTGTTCATGTCAAAATCAGAGAAACAATGCTACGACATGGGGGGAGGGATGAAGGCAATTAATGAGTCAGAAGTCCCTTGTTATTAGGTTATAAGTAAGGGTGAGCATTTGGACCCGTGGACCCGACCATTTTTTTGGACCCCCGGGCCGATTCTCGGTTCTAGGATTTGACCAAAACCGGTCTGGTCGGGCCGGTTCCGGGTAAAAACCGGTTTGGACCGGCTTATTTTTTTAAAAAAAAATTGTATTTTGTGAAATTTTTTAAACAAACATATCTCTTTTGTTTTATGTCGGATTGACATGCGGTTTTTTCCAACGTGTAATTTAGAGTTTGTAGATGATTTTAGGCTATAATGTTTTTGTTTTTGGTGTTATATTCGATGAGTTACAGTCCTTCAAAGATGAGATATCAAAGCTGAAATATTTCAGCAAAAAATTTAAACTTTTGTATTATATGAAAGTCTTTAAACAGGTATATCTCATTCGTTTTAAGTCGGATTCACATGAGATTTTTTCCAGAGTGTAATTTAGAGTTTGTAGATGATTTTAGACTATAATTTTACGGTTTTTGATGTTATATTTAATGAGTTACAATCCTCAAAAGATGAGATCAAAGCTGAAATATTTCAGCTTTTCAGCAAAAAAATTTAAACTTTTGTATTATGTGAAATTCTTTAAACAAGCATATCTCATTTGTTTTAAATTGGATTGATATGCGGTCTTTTCCAACATGTAATTTAAAGTTTGTAGATGATTTTAGACTATAATTTTATTGTTTTTGGTGTCATATTCAATGAGTTAAAATTCTTCAAAGATGAGATCAAAGCTGAAATATTTCAGATTTTCAGCAAAAAATTTGAACTTTTGTATTATGTGAAATCTTTAAACAAAAATATCTCATTCATTTTAAGTCGGATTGACATGCGGCTTTTTTCAACGTGTAATTTAGAGTTTGTAGATGATTTTAGACTATGATTTTATTGTTTTTGGTGTTATATTCAATGAGTTACAATTCTTCAAACAAATGGTATAAAGTATAAACAATCAAAGTTTGACCGGTCCAAATGGCATAAGAAACAGAAACGTATTCATTTTAACGAGTTGTGACGTATCAAACCCATCAACATATTCGTTTTAACGAGTTGTATCAAACCCAAAAACGCATTTTAATAAATTGTATTGTATGCATGTAAAGTTGTACCGATCCAAACGGGTCCAAGAATTGGAAAACCCGAACCTGGACACGGACATGAACCTGGACCCGGAAAGTTTCATTCGGTCCGGTCCACGGTCCACAATATTCTCCGAAACTGGTCCAGTCCAAGAGTCGGTCCGGTCCGATCCAAATGTTCGCCGCTAGTTATAAGTGTTTGACTGGTTTTTATTTTATTTTTAAATTTTTTTAATAATAATACGGTTGGTCCAAGAGTTAAGGACCAACCGTACAGACTACCGCAAACCACAGGGACTATTCATGTAGTTTACCCAAAAAATTAAATCGTTCAACCCATTTATTTAACAGGTTTTGCTGGAAAAAAAACAAGTAAACGGGTCAACCCGGTATCAATAAAGGGGTCGGTATGTTTCATTTTAATTCTGTTAAAACTTAAAACTAAACACTGTAAACCAAACTTTTGCACATGGATTGATTTTTCTAAAATATTTCTACCCATAAACCAACTCAAGGCTTCCAATCAAAATCAACTACAAAAAAACGACCTCAAATTTTGCACATGGATTGCTCATAATGTGACTTGTAAATAAATTTTTGTTACCTTTAAAACTAAATGCATATAAAGCTTGCCTCTGCGTCATGCCAACAGGGTATATTCTGTAAATTTTCAACTCCTTTTCATTGCCTCTTATCCCTTCTGGTCTTTCCTTCCTCCAAATGCTTTCATGTTCTATAGACTCAAACTTGGATAAAACACCAGATTCTAACGCCTCTATCGACAAATTCCCAGACCTGTAAAAGTAAATAGTGTTTGGACATTTTTACCCCTCAAGTATATCATAATTGGTTTAGGGGTGATATTAATTGGTCAAGGGTTCAAGTTCCAATGTGGATTGGGTTGTTATGTCAGCAATCTAGTAGGCCACTGTGTACCTGATTAGGGATACAGTGTGGGCCAACTTTAATTTTTGGAAGAAAATATTACCTTAAGAAAATAGACTGCATCTCGAACCTTCCTCTCTCTCTTACATAAACATGATATACTGGTTCTAAGCCCCTTGTACACTTGCAAGGTCTTTTTGGGAATTTGGGGCTTTTTTCTTCTTTCTCATGGATTCTCGTTGCAACCAAAATGCATAAACGACATGAAGAATGAACTGCAGCCATATCAAGAAGGGCCTTGAAAGAATCAGAAGGGCCATCATATTTCCATCTGTAACAATTTAGACCTTTTTATTTTGTTATCAAGAAGGTAGAAAGAAAAAAACACAAAAAAAACTTGCCTTAGTGACTCATTATAGGCAGTGAGATTCTGTGAAAGTTGTTTCATGGTTTTAGCAACCAACATAACATCTGTTAGTTCCTTGATATGTAAAACTGAATTAGGTGAAGGAGCAAAATCTTGAATGTTTGGAGCACCAACAACAACAGGAATCGTTCCTATAAAAAAAAACTCCATGTTGCTTCAACTTCAATCAATAAGCAATAAAAAAAGAAAGGTTAAATGCAAGAAATAGCAACATACTTCCATTTAACCCTAAAAAGTATGCATTTTTATAGTTGTTCATTCCAGAAGACTTGATACCTGCAACAAGTGACTGGAAGAATTTTTCAGTGACATAGTCTTCTTCATTGGAATTCTCAAAAGCTAAGCTGAATTTGTAACGCTTAAGGGTTTCAACCTTTTCCACTAAAAACACAATTAGAACCAGTGGCCATTAATTGGTTTACAATCAAATAAAGACCAAAAAAATAAGCTTTAAACCAAAAAACTTGACATACTTACCATTTCCATTATGATTTCCATGACAACTACCATAAGAATCAATCTTGATATTTGACTTTTCAAGCCCTTTTAGGGCTTGTAAGCGAAAGTTGCGAGAAGCACAATTTGAAATGAATGCAGCTGCCAATGCTTTTTCAGTTTTTGGTTGAACAGGAGCCATTATATCATATTCTGCCCAAGAAAAGTAGCCAACAGGGACATCTGAGGAGAGACTCGTGGTCATAATTATGTCATATCCTGCTCTGAAACATGATGATACATTGTTACAATTTAAATTTTTGTTAATTATAAGCAAGAAATGAATCATCAATCATGCATCTTTGTAATCTGAGTTTTTGACAGCTTATCACAGAGTGTGCTTACCTACCCTCGTGCCTTAGAGATCTCATTCCTAGGGAAGTAGTGAGATGACTCCATTGACAGAAGAACAGCAGCAGTCCCTTCCTCTTTATGTAACCCAAATGAAGCATCGGCCTTCTTCTTCTTCTTCCGAAGGCTAAACTTGCATCCAACAGAACACGACTTCCAATCCTTCATGAAAGCACCTTTTGAATTATCACTCATGTCATGTCATCACAGTAAGATCGCATACTTGAATCGTACAAAAAGGAATAACAATGGAAACATGCAATCGAAGAACTATGATACATGTAATCGTTGAAACACGTAAATAATGCTAATCACAGTAGAAATACTAACCTCCTCACGACCAGAGATAAGTACTGGTTCTTTACGAAAATCTCTAGAATAAACTACAGAGTCTTCTCTCTCCAACCACTCCTCACAGCTCTCTCCCCCAACAGAACGCGAAACATCCACCACGGCGGCAGACAAATCTGCTACGGCGACCTCATCAACGGGATCAAGGGAGAGTGAGGAAAAAGAGGAGTTTGTGAACTGGAGGAACGATTCAGCCCAAGAGTTGACAAGGTCAGGGTTCTTAATTAAGTCGAGTCTGGCTAAGAAACCGATCTCAGCTATGAAAACTAGGGCTAAGAACAGAGGCAGGAAATTGGTCAATTTCTTCTTTGAATTATCTGAATTATGGACGTTGGTAGATGGCGGAGAAGATGATGATGTTGAAGTGTTAGTGCTGTTACTGATACTTGGTCCATAAGTATCTTCTTGCATGCCTCTTGATACTCTTTGATTAGGGTTTAGCGAACCCATGTTCTCTTAACAATTAATCTATAAAGATTTATAGAGTGGTGTTGAATCTGGGTTGAAGTAGGGGGCAATTCACCAAAATTGATGAAGTAAACAAGTTAAAACTTGGAGATCTTATGTTTGTTCGATCATGATCTGGGCATGAATTTCGTTTACACTCTTCTCTTGAGGCTCACACCAATAAATTGAATCAATCCTGTCCCGTTTAATTGTGTAAAAATATTACTATTTTTTTTTTTATAAATTAATAAAAAAAATAAACTTTTTAGAAACATTAATATTCTTTTAAAACTATTTTTAAATGAAAATTTTAATTTTCTAAATTATAAATAACAGAAAACTACAAAAAAATAATAAATAAATAAAATAAAAAATTCTAAGGACGGTGGAAATTTGTTTTTAGTATTCGAAAATTTTTTCAAGAAACAATAAATAGAATTTTTATTTTCAGTTTTTAAAGGAAAATTTAAAAATATTTTTAGTTTAAAATGATTGATTTTTTATTTTCAATTTTAAAAAATTAAAAAACATGTTTAAATGTGTATTTTCATTAGTTTTTCTTTCCAAATTTTGTTATTTCAAATAATATAATATTGAGTTTTCATTAGCTTACATTGTTTTGAGAATGGGAATATTGTTTCGTCAAAAATGATGTGGCGGGAAAGGATGATGGTACGGATTTGTATTTCATAGCATTTATACCCCCGATGGTTGGATGGATGGCCCAAGAAAACACAAGGTGATGGTCGTTTGTTTAATTCGTGTATAGTAGTAGAAGAGATTAGGGATAGCAAAGACATCCGAAAGTATGTAAATGAGAATATGCGGGTTGGAGATTACATAGAAGGTGAGTAAGTGTGAGTTTATGTAAAAGATTACTAAGAATAATATTTAGGAGATAAGTGGCATGTTGAAGGGCATGATGTTAAAAGCGTAATGTCACCGTGGAGTGAGCAGAAGAGTCCGTAACACATTATTGATTGAACAAATTTTTCTTTCCGCTTTGCCATTATGTAGAGAGGTGTATGGATAAGAGAATCGAAACTGGATGCCATTTTGAGAACAAAATTGATGAAAGTTATGATTTTTATACTTGCGGCCATTATCACACTATATTGTTTTTATTGTAAAATAAAATTGGGTTTTCATGAGTGTGAAAAAAATTGAACGAAAGTGGAATAGACTTGAGATTTGTGTGCAAGTGGGTATGTCCACAAGAAATTAGTTTTGTCATCTAAAAATAAGAGATAATATCGATGACCACTAGAACATAGCAGAGGTGATGTCCACAAAATCAGTGTGAATTATATCAAAAGGTAAATGTGTGATAGAATTTGAAGCATAAAAAGGAAATTTAGATTGTTTTCCAAACACACAAGAAGAACAAACATGAGATAAAGTTTTAGAACTAGAGCTAAAATTCAAAGTATACTTTAAAGAATATAAAATATCGGATCCCGGATGTCCAAGTCGATGGTGCTATAAATCCTTGGTTATTGTAGCAAAAGTTGAGGGTGTTGTAACTTGGGATGATGATTGAAGTGTGAAAGGATAAAGATCGCCAGAACTATTGCATCGAAGAATTGGTGTCTGCGTCTGGAACTCCTTCACATCAAAACTGAAAGGATCAAATTCCACATAAAGATTATTGTCAGTGGTAAACCGACGAACAGATAAAAGTTTTTTTTTTTATAACATGAGGAGTATGAAGGAAATTTTTGAGAATTAAAGGGGGGAAAGCGTAAGGCGGAGTTTGATGTCTGGTACCTTGGATTGGAATAGTGGAACCATTACCGATAATTACATTCCGAAAAGGGCCATTATTTTGAAAAGAATTGAAGTTACCCTAATTATTCGTCATGTAGGAAGTAGCTCCGGTGTTGGCATACCAATTTGTATCAGGTGGGTGGAGCGACATCATGTGGAAAGCCTGCTCCGAATATGTTGGCATGTAGCTAGAGTCGGAGGGTAGCATAAGCCTGATGGGGTCGGCTTCCAAGAATACCAGGTCCATTAGATGGAGGTCTAGGATTGCCAAGTTGTTATGTAGGATAGGGAGACGGTGGATAGGCCTACGATGAGTAGTTTTGGAATGTCCAAGGAAGTGGTGTAGTCCATGGTTGATAGGAGCGTGTACCATAAGTGTGTTGAGGTTGATGCGAACTGTTGTTGAAACCTCTCCCCTTGCTGTTGTTTGATCTACCCCGACCACGTCCTTCTCTGCCACGACCCCATCCACGAGAAGTGGTAAAATCAGATTGTTGTTGATTGGATCGGTTGTTGTTGTCGATGTTTCCTGGATGCTGTTAAATCGATGGCATTGGCGCCGATGTTAGGTGATGTTGCGGCTGTGGCAGCTAGATGAGCTTTGTGAGATTCTTTCATGATTAGTTTTGATCGGACTTCATAGAAATCAGTAAAAAGGAGTGGTTTGTTGTATGAGCATGGTGACACCTTCATAACTTTCATTGAGACCAATAATCAATTGTAAAATAAGCCTTTAATTGGACACCGGGTTTCCCATGTTGGCAAGTTGATCCGCCAACATCTTCATATCTTGGCAGTAAGAGGAGATGTTGGGATGATGATCAATACGGGTGGAGATGAACTTGCTGTCAAGATAGACAACCCTTGAACTTTTATTATCTTGGAAGATGCTTTCGAGAGCTTGCCAAACCTGTGAGGAGGTAGTGTTAGGTTTTAGGATAGTGTGAAAAAGAACATTGGAGATGGTATTGTAGATCCATTGAAGAACAATGGCATCTAGACGAGACCAAATGTCACATTCAGAAGTTACTTTGGCCTTCTCAGCCTTGGTAGCTGTTGAGGAAGAGGGGGCGGATGGTGGTCGTTTGACTTGGGGGTCGATGTGATTTCCAACTTGGAAATCACGACAGTGAATTTTGAATAACTCAACCCATGAAGTGTATTGACTGTTTTCCATTTCGAGAGTGAATGGAATAAAGTTTCTAATGTTTGTAATAGTGATGGTAGGGTGATTTTTGGGATCCATTGAAGAAGAAGATTCGGTAGAAGAAAGAAAGAGGAGAAGATCGGCAGTTAAGAAGGATTTTCAGAGGATTATGGGCTCTGATACTGTTAGGGGCAGGATCCCAGAATCATATTGAGGATCCTTAATATTTCTGAAGCCTCAACATCCTTGAACATATCACAAGATCCTGATTATTATCACTAATATTTTCTAACACTTATAACGGCTATATTCCTCTTTCTTTTTCTCACATGTGCAGAATTAGTCAGCAAGACTCATTCTCAACGGAGAATCACTTCAACCAAGCTTAAGACTCGGGAATACTAGGTCAAACAATGTGCAAATACTTGTTCAAGGAGGATCCCGGAAATATCATACTTCTTGTTATTTAGCTTAGACTATAAATAACACCTGTAAATCGTACACTACACACACAATTAGCTTTACTACTACACTTGTACTCATATTATCTTCATCATCTATGTAATCTCACGTTGAAATCAATAAGAACAACAAGGTAGATGATCACTATCACCTCCCAAGGTTTTATGTCGGAGATCCTATAAAGGATCAAGGACTTTCCTTGTAATTCACTCGTCTCACTTTGATTAAAATTCGACATTTGTATTTCCTTAAACACCACATCCTCTCATACATCTTGGTTGAATTTTACTTGATCAATTTTTGTCCAGAACAATTTGGCGCCCACCATGGGCCCATGGTGTTTACAATCATTCGAGAATCATGTCTACCCAACCAACCTTATCATCTTCCTCTATTCCTCCCATTTCCTCTAAAAACCTTCCACCACCTCCAGGCGAAGCTCCCAAGAAGACTTCTGAGGAACCGAAGAAAAACACCTCTCCGGTTGTTACCCAAGGATTTTAGGATCTTCCTATAATGATTTCTAATAACAAGATCTTTGTTATGATGAAGAGATTAGAACGACAATTCATTCAACATCAGGAGGACAACAGGACAGTACTCAAGGAAATAGAGAAAATGAGGGTGCAGATCCACAAAACCCAAGAAGCAGCACCCTCGATCTTGCAGCCAAAGATCCTAAACTTTAACTATACAGGATCCTCAAGAAACCGCTGGGAGATAGGATCCTCAACGCCAGCCCCGACTCCCGCTTGGGGTGCAGCTCCAAACGAGCAAGCTCATGTGATCCAGGATCTCGACGAAACCTTCATCACTCCTAATAACAAGGATCCTGGTAACTTCGTGAATAATAATACTTTTACTACTAATTCTATGGATATTGATGCAGGATAAGCCCGGTCATGGCCAAGGAACTTCAGCAGTTAAGACAAATGATCTCAAGTATGTCCGGAGTAGTCCAACCTATACCGGAAGTTTCCCCAACAAGCCACATGATTTCAAGATTTGATTCAGCGATTGCTGACACTAAAGTCCCAAAGTGCTTCCAAAATCCCAGTATGAAGCCCTACGGCGGGACTACAGATCCTGAAGAACGTGTGGCACAATACAAGGAAAGAATGGAGATCATCCTTATTCCCACACATTTGAAAAAAGCTTGCCTATGCAAGGGTTTTGGTTCGACCCTCATAGGATCAGCCTTGAAATGACTGCTAAATGTTCATCCTTACTCTATTACTTCGTTTGCACATTTAGTTAATATTTTTAACAACCAATTTTCTTGCAGCGGAATATTCGAGAAGATCACTAGTTATCTCTATCGGGTGGTTCAGGATCCTAAGGAATCCCTCAAGGATTTTGTGAACATGTTTGGCAGGGAAGCTCTGAGTATCCCCAACATTGATATGGAAACTATCGTAGAAGCCTTCAAGACGGGCATTAAAAAGGACTCTCCTTTCTATGAAGACCTTGTAATGACTCCATGCAAAAGAATGGATGAAGTAAGGAGCAGAGCACTGAGGTTCATAAGGATCGAAGAAGACAAGGAGAACTAAAAGAGGATCAACCCCCCAAACTCATATGATAATCCCAATAGGAAGGCCAACTCCCCGGTCCAAAGATCCTATAAGTCGAAACCATATTCCAAACCTGATCATCATAGGGTTAATGCCCTTGAAGATGAACGAGAGGAAGAAGAATTTACTAAGATTACTGACTATTACTTTTCTGTGGATATTTCAGGTTTAATATTTGTCATGCAAGATCTTGGAGACAAAGCAAGATGACCAAGAAAGGGAGAAAAGTCCACCACCTGGAAAGAC